CAGCCCATGCAGGGCAGCTCTGATTCCAGAACCTTCCCAGCATGCTCCTGATCTCCAGGCCAGTCTGCAGCTCCCTTCACTTCCCACGTCCCCAGGAGCAGCCAGTGGCCCTCCCTGCCCACACCTGTCCTTCCCAGCTCACTCAGGTCCAGCTGCCACCCTGAGTGTCCGGGCCACTTCCCTCCCTCACAGACAACCTGGTCCGCTTGCAGCGGGAAGGGAACGGCCGAGTGGACTGCCTGGTAAGCATGGGTCCTGTCTCCTGCCCAGCTCCCAGCTCCCTGCAAAGCGGCTGCGTACTGCCTGAGACCTCTGCAGGAGGCGGCAGCAGCCATGTGCTCAGGCCTCGTTCCCTCTCAACACCGTCCCAGTCCTTGACTCCTCACCACAGCTGGACGCCCCTGGAAGCCTCAAGCGTGCAGATCACTCACGTTTTCAGACACGTGGAGCCCATCACGAGCAAACCAAGCTGCTCTAAATGCGACGATTCCGTGGAATGCCCTGGTCCCCAGGCAGTGGTCTTGGCGTGTCTTCCCACCCAGCTGCTGGGAGGACCCAGGCCGCGCAGGACAGAGCCCCGGACATGCAGCACCATGGGTGGCCCTGGAGATCCCTCTCTGGTTGCACCCTTACCAGTCACCGCAGCATGGTCTGGTCTGCGCGTCTGTCACTGTGGACAAAGGGTCAGGGGACAACCTCCGAGGAGCCCTGGCACAGCTCAGCCTGTCATGTGGGGCCTCAAGGGGAGAACAACTTTGAAAATGGAACCTGTCAAACAGGGCAGGCCAGGCACGGTGGTGCACGCCTGTAACCCCAGCACTTTGGGCAGATCACGCGGTCAAGAAATCAAGACCATCCTAACCAACACGGGGAAATCTCGTCTCTACTAAAACCAGAAAAATTAGCTGGGCATGGTGGTGGGTGCCTGTAATCTCAGCTACTCAGGAGGCTGAGGTAGGAGAATCGCTTGAACCCAGGGGGTGGACGTTGCAGTAAGCCAAGATCATGCCACTGCACTCAAGCCTGGTGACAGAGCAAGACTTCGTCTCAAAAAAATAAAACAGGGGAAACGCCTGGTTAACACAGCCTGAAGATGGCAGCTCTGACCCCCCTAGATTCCCCACAGGGCTCCTCAGCCCCCGGAGAAGCCAGCTCAGCAGGGCTCCCACAAGGCCACACATCGTGGCCACGGGGAAGCTTCTTGGCTCTTGGAGCCTGTGACATGCCCCTGCTCAGGGGAATGGCCTGAGCCCAGGAGGTGGAGGCTGCAATGAGCTGTGATTGTGCCACTGCAGCCTGGGCAATGGAGCGAGGCCCCATCTCTGAAAAAAAAAAAAAAGGAAAAAAAAAAAGAAATGCTCTTGTTATAATCCAGCCACAAACGGCTCCTTCTGTGGGAACTGTTTCCTTGGGTCTGATGAGACATTCCGTGGTCACAGTGGTGCCTGTCCACGTGCTCAGTAGCCCCGTGGGCTGGTGGCTACTGTACGAGGCAGTGCAGATGAGGCGTTGCCACGGTAGCGGGAGTTCTATTGGATGGAGACGGCCCAGGCAGGGAACATCTGAAAACATGCCAAATCCACTGAAAACCAGAGTGGAGCCGGCCGGGGAGGACCAAGGAAGCCCCAGGGAAGGCAGGAGCCCCACACAGCCTCTCCGGTGCGGTGCGTGGCCAGGTGTGACCGCCGTCAAGAGCATAGCCACCTTCACCCACACCCGCCCGGCAAAGCCACCTGCCGGCTGCTCTCCCTGGCTGTCTCAGCGGCCCATTTGCTAACTGCCCCAGCTTCGTGTGCACAACTAATGCTGTGTATCCGGCCCTGCGCCCACCTTGGGGCTCGGCTGCGGCCCGGCATCCCCTGTGGGGCACACAGAGCCCCAGACCCTCAGATCAGAAGCCTGGTCTGTGAAGCAGTGCTCCACATCAAGCCTTAGCCCTGGGTTTGGGGAAACAAATGTCACCCTCCTAAGCTTTTCAGGAGCAAAGGTTTTTGTAAGGATTTCACAAACTCTGCCATCAAAAATGAAACCCCAAAAGTTTAGTTTGGTGAAACAGTTTCACAAAACTCTACAATGGATATGGATAGTTTTCCTTTATTTTCTTGAGATGGGGTTTTGCTGTCACCCAGGCTGGAGAGCAGTGTCAAAATCATGGCTCACTGTAGCCTCAACCGCCTCCCACCTCGGCCTCCCAAGCAAGCAGACGGAACTGGAGGTGAACACCACCACACCGAACTTTAAAATATTTTTTGTAGAGATGGAGTCTCCCTCTCTGTTGCTCAGGCTGATCTGGAATTCCTGGGCTCAAATGATCCTCCCACCTTGGCCTCCCAGTGTTGGAATTACAGGTGTGAGCCACTGCAGCCAGCTGGTTTCCCCTTAAGTGGCACTTTCTGGCCATAATGACTGCCTGGGAGAAAACTGTTGTTATCTTCATGTTGTTAGAAGCCTCTGCCAGTGACAAAATGAGAAACGTGAACTTCCTCCCTTCACCGAAGCCAAGGAAGCCTTTACAAAGCAAAGATTCTGAAGAAGATCATGTCTCTCAATCTTCAAACTATTTTTTTTTTTTTGAGACAGTCTCACTCTGTCACCCAGTGCAGCGGTGCAGTCACGGCTCCCCGCAGCCTCGACCTCCTAGGCACCCACCACCACAGCTAGCTAATTTTTTGTAGAGACGGGGTCTCACAATGTTGTCCAGGCTGGTCTTGAACTCCTGGGCTCAAGTGATCCTCCTGCCTTGGCTTCCCAAAGTGCAGGGATTACAGGTGTGAGCCACTGCAGCTGGCCTCAAATGCGTTTTTACATAAGTAAGAACTTCGGTTTTCTCTTTTTACGCATATTCACCTTCCCGAGGTCCATCGAAGGGCTTGCTCACAGCTCCGAGGCCTCTTTCCTTTCAGCAGCATCGGAAACACCACCCCAGATTTACCCGAAGACTGAACTAGGTAGGCCAGGTGGCTCACGCCTAGAATCCCAGCACTTTGGGAGGCCTTGGCAGGTAGATCACCTGAGGTCAGGAGTTTGAGACCAGCCTGGGCAACACGGTGAAACTCCATCTCTAATAAAAATACAAAAACTAGCTGGGCTTGGTGGCAGGGGACTGTAATTCCAACTACTCAGGAGACTGGGGTATGAGAATCGCTTGAACCTGGGAGGTGGAGGTTGTGGTGAGCCAAGATCATGTCACTGCACTCCAGCCCGGGCGACAAAAGCAAAACTCCAAAGACTCAACTGCCCAGTCAGCTGAATGTAATTTCCACCGGCCTGCACAGCAGTGTCCTGGGGACTGCCCTGCTGACAAATCCTTGCCCGTCAGCTAGGCCACCTCCTCAGGGCAGCTTCCCACAAGGGGAACCCTGGCCTCGGGGGCTCCTCCCCCGGCATCACAGATATTTGTGAAAACTTTTCCACCTTGTGGGACAATATGGTTTCTATGGCGCTCCAGCTGACTACTATGTCCTTAAAAAAGGAATAAAAGTTGAGCTTTAAGCAATCACTCCATCAACACATTAAAAAAATAGGTTTAATGCAGGTGGTTCATCTCATGACGAATTCACAGGCACTGGGGACAGCAGGCAGCCAGGTGCTCAGAGCGCACCACGGTGCCGCCCCTCCCTGCGGCGCTGACCCCCAGTGAGCAGCACCGCCAGCCCCTCCCGCCATTCCTTCTCCCTCTGCCAAGGGGCTCGGGCAACTCTGAGTACACGTTAACAAAAAACAAAGCTTCTTTGAGGAAATAGCATGACTTAGTGCAAAAGATTCTCTGCAGCAAGAAATGAGACCCCCCGCAAGGAAGCTCCCGCCCACCTGCCGGGGGCCTGGACTAAGCGGGGCTCCTCGAAGGTCATCCACAGAAGCTGCCAACAGATCAGACAGCACGGTTTATGGCCAAATATTTTTTGCTTTCTCTACCTGATTTAGGGTTTCTCAAAACGTTTTTCTTCCAGTGGCACACAACTGTCCTCATGGCCCAGGGCAACTGGTCCGCCTGGCAGGGTCCACCCATGCCCAGATGTGGGGACATGGACTGGGGTGAAGCTAGGGTCGCCATCTGAGCACCGCAACCTGTGTCCTGCTCTAGGGCAGCCTCTGTCGTCATCCCTGCAATCATCATTCAGGGCGCCCTCCCATCTGCCCCCAAAGTCACACAGCTGTGGGCTGTCGCCATAGTGATGCAGTGACTGCAAGGCTGAGAGGAACAGCGTGTGCGGTCCTAGGTGAGAGCCTGGCCCACGGAGGCCGCCCTCCCTGAACACAGGCACCTGCGCCCCTCCAGCCCCCTGCCCCTGTGCTGTCATCCAGAACCTCCAGTCACTGGAGGACAGCGTGGGTAGAACCTTGCCATACGCCCGGGGCTGCAAGAGGCTGCTGGTGCCACACAGGCTCCAGGTCAGTGGTTGCTGCACTGAGGCCTCTGCTCCCTGCTCCAGACACTAGGGACACACAAGTCTCCATCCCAGCTCACTGCACCCTCTATTTCCCAGGCTTTCTTAGAAGGTGTTCCCTCAAATAAAGAGGCCCAATCCCCCACCCCCAGCAAGAAAAGCCAGAAAGGAATGGAGATGCCTCCCCAGAAATCCACAGATTCTACAGAACATTTTGACAGCCCTCTCGGGAGAGGCAGGCAGGCCAGCGTTGCTGGAGTTGGTCCCCTGGCTCCCAGGGTTCCCCCAGGCCAGCCCCTGAGCTGGGAACCTGCTGAGGCCCCTCCTATCCGAGCCCCCGGGGCCCCCCGCTAGACTGCATCTACACAACCAAGGAGACCCTGAAGGCTGGCCTGGGACTCAGGACCCACAGCCCTTCAGGGTGACAGAGGGCAGTGCCAGGCCTCAGGCGGCCCCTGGCAGAGTGAGCAGCTTTGTGGCAGTGTGGTGTGTCAGTGAGGGGAGCCCTCCGGATTTGCTCCTGGGCACACAGCCCTCTGTGTCCAGGGGTCTCCCAGGGTGATGTCTAAAGTCCCTGGCAGGTGTGGTCCTGCAGAGAGGCCCACCCCACAACCTGAGAGTGCACGAGAGGAGAGTGGGCGCAAGAAGCCAGCCTAGGGGCAGCGCCCGCACCCCCACCACGTAAGTCTCAGCCCTTTCTTTTCTCTCCGTGGGCACCGAGGCAGCAGCGCCTGCCTGCGGGATGGGCAGAAGCGAAGGCGCTGGCCAGCCCCACCCTTGGAGAGAACACAGACACAGGCCAGGACAATGAATCCAGCTCGCGCTCACGGCCCTCACATGTCCACGAAGACCATGAAGCACCAGCCGAGGCCCCCCACCAGCAGCATGGTGACGTGGATGCCGTAGATGAGCAGCTCGTTCACCAGGCGGAAGTCCACACGCCGGCGGCCCAGCAGCAACAGCAGCACCGACAGCTTGCGCTGGAAGCGCAGCAGGACACGCACGCCCAAGTACTGCAGGCAGAAGAGGGCGGCCAGCGCGCCCCAGAGCGCCGCGGTGAACAGGCTGCAGCTGAAGTAGAGCAGGAAGCGGATGAAGCCGTACAGCCAGCGCGTCTTGATGTACACGTCGAAGTTGTTGTACTTGGTGCGGGCCAGGTGAGACGCACGCACGGGCCCGCAGGCCGCATGCAGGCAGGTGGTATGCGGGCCGTGGAAGGAGCGCACCCGCCGCGGGATGGGCATGACCGGCATTGGGCCCCGGCGGTGGCGTCCAGGCGTGGTCAGCGTAGGGGTCATGGGCGCCTAGGCCTGGGAGCCCGCAGCTGAGCCTCAGGGGAGGCGTCGGCCTGTGGGGAGAACCACGAAACCCAGGTCAGTGTGAGGACGCCATGCGGATCCCTCCCCAGGCATCAGCAGGTGAAGGCGGACACAAACTGCAGTGCCTGGACTTAGGGCGTCCAGGGCGCGATCTGCGGGCACTCCTGGGCTTACTCTTTTCTCAAACCCTCCCAGGGACATTTCCAAGGGGCCCACCACCTGCGAATGCCAGTGTTTGCTCTAGGCCTTCGGGGCAGTGGCGATCAACGCCAAAATGTACGGGAAGGGGCCGGCGTGGCTCCTTCCCACAGGATCCTCGCAGACCCCCACTCGCTGGACCACTCTCTGCTCTTATGCATTTGCCCATTACCGCCCTGGCCTTCCGAGGCTGCCTGACCCAGGGTTGACAATAGCCCTTGAATGGCACCTGCAAGAAGCCACCACGGGGCCAGGAAAAGAGACAGGTAAACTGAGAACGAGCCTTGGGGTGGGAGGGCAGCTGCCTCCAGCAACCTGACAAGTGCCAGGGGCCGAATGGACGGCTGGGGGGCCCCGGGGTCACCCTGCCAGGCCTGAACCCCGGCACTGTCCTTCCCTAGCAGTGACCTTGGGCAGGTCACCAGACCCCAAGCCGGCTCCTGTTTGTCCTGTGGGAGGGAAGGGGCTGGGCGGCGGCCCTACCGACCGGCTGCAAAGAGCGCACGCGGCATTTGGCTCTAGCTTCGCCTAGTAAGTGCCGCTTAGAGCTCGCCTAAATAATCCGAGGAGCGGAATGAACCCAAAGGTCAGGACGTGTCAAACTGGAGAAGGAAAGTTGGTAACAGAGCAGGGCACTGCAGCCAAGCGCCTCGCCTGATGCACGGGGGTTCAGCCTGGGGCTCCGCCGTGGGGACCCGGCCCGGGCGGAAGCGGGAGGGGCCGGGGCCGCCTGACCCTCCGCGCCGCAGAGCCCGGTTCCTTCGCGCGGTGCCGGGGCCAGAGCCGCCCTGCTTAAGGCCAGCCTCGGCCTGGAGCTCGCCGCGGCCGGAACCCAGCCATGGCGGCGCCCCTCAAACACGGCTCGGCGGGGCCCTCGCGGTCCGCAGCTCCGCTCGGGTCCCCGTCTTTCCGCAGACACCCGCTAGGCCCGTGGCCGGGCCAGGACCGTTTCCTCGGGGCCGCAGAGACGCGATGGGCCCCGGGCCCGGCCCACGCCTCGTGAGCACCGGGCCTGCGCCGCGTCGGGCCCCGCGGCTGCAGAGCCCCTGCCGGAGCCACTTCCGGGTCCTGCGTCGCGCGTTGCCCTGGAGACGGCCCCGCCGAGGCCCGGTTCCCGCCCGCCGCTCACCCGGTGTCCTCTCCGCGGCGGCGCCGGCGTCCCGGACTTCGGGGCCGGCCGGCGGTGCTGGAGGCCGGGCCTGCGGGCGCCCCTGTCCCTTGGGGCTCCGTGCGCAGAGCGGACGCATGGTGCCGGGGCGCGCAGCTGGGGGGCCGGCGGGGCGGCTGCGGGGGTGGCTCACGCGTCCCGGGCTGGGGTCGCCCGGCAGAGGAAGGCGCGCTCGGGCGCAGCCGCCGGAGGCGTTTGGCCCAGCGTGGGAGCCGTAGCGCCTTCCCTCGACGGCCACCGTAGGGCGGCCTCACGCGCCCTCCGCCCGCGCCGACCGAGCCGCGCCTCCCTTCCCCCTGCTCCGGGCCGCGCTGGGCGTCCGGGACTCGACGCCTCCCGAGGGCGTGCGCCCGTGCGTGCGCGCACACACGGGAGCAGTCCGTAGCGTCGTCGCCGCCGTCGGCGCCGCGCGTGATCCTGCGCAGGCGCAGATAGCTGGCCTGCGCGTGCCGGTCCTGGGCAGCGCCTCCGCGCACGCGCCGCCGCACCCCGAGGCAGGCCAGTGCGCACGCGCGCTCCTGCGGAGTCGTCCTCTGGTTCCGGAGGGGGGGCTTGGCCGTGGTCCCGGCTCCGCCTGCGGTGTCTGCGACCCGGCGCGCTGCTGCGGGGCTCTGGGGTGGGGCCGGGCCCCGGGGAAGCCGCCTTGTAGGCGGGGCTGGGCGGCCTAGGGCCCGGGAGCAGGTCTGGTCCGCGCAGGGCCGTGTGCGGAGGCGCCCTGCGCTGGCCGGGCCTGGGGCTGGGAGGACTGGGCGGCGGCGGGAATGGGGGCGCCCCTGGGCTCCGGGAGGGCGGGGAGGGGTGGGGGCGGCCGACGCCGCGCGGACCCGGGCGGCAGGGAGCGGGCGGGTAGCGGCGAGGCCCACTGGGCCGTCGGCGACGTCGGCAGCCGGAGTGGGGGACAGCCCCGGAGAGCGCGCGGGCCTCGCAGCCGCCCCAGGGCCCCCCAGTGAAGGAAGGGCACCTGCGATGGTGTCACTGCGCCTGGTCCTCATAGGCTGGCGGTGTTCTGGGGGTGTCCCAGCAAGGAGTGTATTGGGGAGCGCTCCTGGGTGTGGCTGCGGGGTGGGAGGGGAAAGGGAAGGCAGGGTCAGCAGCTCCCGAGGCGACCAGAAAGTGGGTGGCTCCTGAGATTCGTGGAACTGGAATGAGGGGGCTGGGCCCTCCTGCCCACCAGGCCCGTCATTGGCTGCAGGCCTCCCAGGCCGGCTTGCTGGCTCCAGGGCCCCCCGTCCCCGCCGCGGGGGAGAGAGCCGCCATTACCCGGACATCTGGACAAGCAAAGGCCACCAGGAGGTAGCACAGCAAAAAGGCCAAGAACCCATTTCTTTATCGATGGCTGGAGGCAAATATTCCAGAAGAAACAGGTGTCGGGGGAAGGTTGGCTCACGCCTGTCATTCCACTGCCTGGGGAGGCCAAGGCGGGGGCATCACTTGCGCCAAGTTTGAGACCAGCCTGGGCAACATAGTCTCTACAAAAAAATTAAAATCAATCAATAAATAGGTCTCTTTTCTTTCTCCATAACCCCGTGGCTGGTTCACTTCTCTCCCTCCGCAGATGTGAGGCAGATCCACACGTTTAACCATGGAGATAAGGCTGAGTGTGGTGCCCACACCTGTCATTCCAGCCTCAGATCTCTTGTGCCCAGGAGTTCCAGACCAGCCTGGGCGGCATGGCTGGCAACATGGCCTCCACAAAAATAAATACAGTAAAAAATTTAAAAATAAAAACATTGAGATAAGAAAAGCATCTCGATGCCTGCCTTCGTTTTCTGTTTTGTTTTAAAGAGCACTAGAGACAAGCCAAAGAGAATTGTCCCCTCCCGTGCAGCTCCTGCTGGGACAGTGGCACCGGGAGATGCACCTGTGGCCAGGAAGAGGGTGGTGTGTAAACGAGGTGGTCACCCGTCACTCTGGGCTGCTCTTATGCTGGTGAGGGTGGTCTCGTTTCCGTGGGTCAGGGTTCACACCTGGCCCATTTGGTGGCTGTGCCATGGGAGCAGCAGAGCCACAGCCCCCTCCTGGCTGTGGGTTTCCCTCGCCCTCCCTACCCTGAAGTCCCCTGGCTCCAACTCTGGGTTAGACGGCCCTGCTTCCCACTGTGCAGCCGTCCAGAGAAGCATGGCACGTGTGCCTGCGCTTGCGAGCCAGGCATCCACCCACAATGCTGCCCTGCTCTGGGTACCAGGACCCAGGGACAGCAGAGCCCCCACCCTTGAGGCACCTGCCATCTTGTGACAGGGGCAGGCCGAAGGGCAATTGATCAGAAAGGGTGGCAAGTGTCTCGTCAGACATGATCTTCATGCAGGGGATGTCCCAGGACTGCTGGGCCAGAACTCTTTCCAGTGCGTCACATCACCCCGAGCCAAAGGCCAAGGAGGTCCCTCGGTGGGTGTGGCCGTCAGAACGAGCTGCTAATGAGGAGACCTGGAAGGGAGCAGCCAGCTAGTGAGGCTGTGGCCGGTCCTGGCTGTACCCGGACCCTGGAGCGTCGTACAGCCGGGGCGGACGCAGGTTGTGTGGGGCCTGAGGCTTTGTGGCTCGAGGGACCTTCCTTAAGAAAAGAATACAAAATTACAAATAAAAAATTAGGCATAGGCCTTGAAGCTTCTGCTGCTAAGCTCAGGGTCAGGTGAACCCACTGCCAACTGAGCCCAGAAGACGGCCCCCCAGGCCAAGTCAAAAGTGGTTCACAAAGTCATGTCTGGTGTGACCCCCTCATCAGCACAAACATTTTTCAATGTCTGTTTCTGGGTGAAGCGCTGGAAGCAGATAAATGTTAGCAGAGGTTATCTATGTGTGGTGGAATTAGAGAAATTAATACATTTTACTTTCTTTTTTAACATTTCTGTACTTTCTGATTTTATGTTTCCAGCATGACCAAAAAAAAAAAAAAAAAAAAGCTAGATTTGGACAAATAAAAAGACGTGCATGTCAGCCGGAGTGGCCTGAACCTGTTCCTGTATCAGAATCTCTAGGAAAGCGGTGCCCCTCACTCGCCAGTGCCTCAGGCTGGGCCCCTGGTCACATGTTCCTCGCTGCAGGCGGGCTCTGTGTCCTGAGTTAGTTCCCAAAGGGTGCAGCCACCCCTCATACCTGCCTGTGTTGGTGGTCCCACCCTCTCTGGTCTGCCGTCTGCTCCGCCAGTCCCTGCTGGCCCCGGGTGGGGTTGGCCACTCCAGCCGTGGGGGTGGCTTCCTGGGCTGAGCCTGCTGTCTGCTGCCCATCGCTTCCAAGGTTGGGATATCACCTGGTGTAAGGGGACAGTGAAGGGACACTGAGAGGGAGCCCCGGTTGCCCTTTCCCAGGAGAACGAGAATTTCAGTGCGGACTTGTTTATTATTTTTCTTCAACAGAGGTGTCATGGCCAGAGAAACACTTCACGTGCCTTGGATTAAAGGGCGAGTCCTGTCTGTCTGGAGAATCGGCCAGCTCTGCACCCATGGAAGCGCCTGTGTCCCGGGTGTGGGTTCTGGTCTTTGTTCTGACGGTTGGGGTTGCCCTTCCCTGGGTGACCCCCCAGAACCCGCCAGCCTCCCCTAACTCCCTGTGAAGCGGGGGTCAGGGTGGGAGCCTGCACCCCTCTACAGGGGCCTTTTCTCTCTCCGTGCCCCTCCTCTACCTTCCAAGCTCCCACTTGCCCTTCCGGACCCAGCTCGAATGCCCCATCTCTGGGAAGCACCTCCAGCCTCCTGCTGCCCCTGTCCCCGGTGGTGGGGGCATCTGACTGCTCCCGCCTCCCCCCCTCCACATGCAAAACCGATCCCCTGTTGGTGACCTGTGTCTCCTCTGGCCCAGTGCTGTCTTGCTGTGGCCACCGTGAGATGGGTTTCCACTTTGTGACCTGGTCCACGCATGCACAGCTCACGTGACTTCTCAAGACAGTGCTCTCCTCCCGGCTGCGGCTGCTGTGGCTCCTTTACCTACTCCCTGAGTTCTGCACCCTCCTGCGCCCGTGGCCGGGCCACGGCTCGGTCGCCCCAGGACCTCCACGTGCTGGGGATTTGTCACAGGCTACCCTGGCGCGTGAGGTCCAGCCGGGTCCCCATCAGCCCCTCCCTGTCCTTGTCCCCGCCAGGCCTCCCGCCATGCTGTGGGCAGTGGCCTAGCGCCATCTGCTGGGCTGATGCCTACAGTGCCGCCAAACGCAGGAGGGACCCGTGGCTCCAGGTGTGTGGGAGACCACGTTGGGGCCGAATGTGGCGCTCGCTGCCAACGCAGAGCCAGGCAAGACCCCCTGGCGGCATGGCCTGGAACGCTTGTCGGGCCTTTGAAGGGACAGCAAGCCAACCCCTGCTTGGAAGGAGCACTTTCCCCACCGAGGCTGGCCCAGGGCACATGCTGACAAGGGGTGCTGAGTGGTGGAAGGAGTGCCACCTCCGGGTGTGGGGCGGGTTGGAGCCCACCCTAGCCCCTCCAGCACCATCCCTCTGTCTCTCCACTTGCTGGGGCTGCGGACGGAGGATGGGGTCTCTGTGAGGATTGTGTC